AAGGGAAGTAGGGGGGGCAGAAACCATCCTCGCTAGAAGGAAGGAATGCCCCAACTGTTTTATAAATGAAAGTATAATCTGTAACTGGAGAAACTGTCAACCCATCATTGGTTTGACATTGCAGCTGCTCTGGGATTTTATTAGAGCAGATTAAAAGGAATTTTTGATATACAAAACTAAAATCCCCAAGCAACAAGAAACCAGACAATACAACAGCAGGGGAGCTGCAGGACAGAGGATTGGGAAACTGGCCGCATTACTGATTTGTGCTCCCTTCACCGGTCAGAGGAGGAGCGGAGTGTGTGATCCTGGAGGAGACAATGGAGTCCAGGGATCCAGCAGAAAAGGAAGCATTAGCCATAGCTACCTCTTTGTGGTTCTGCCAGCCTAGCCCTGTCCTTGGCAGCACAGCTCCTTTTGGAGCCATACTACTCCTAACTCCATTGTCCATGCCTGGGGCTAGTACCCCCTCACCAAAGACAGTGTAAACCTGGGGGCTAATGTTCCTAGGAGCAGTATTAACCAAATGCTATTTGCCATGCCAAGGAGACTGAGGGCTGTTCCACCCATCCGCTTCGCCTACCTGCAGTATCGTTCCCCCCGGCACAGATCCTAATAAGCGCCCCTTCCTAGCTGCCTATTAGGACTGCTCTGCGGGGAATCCAAGCCTCTGTCTCTGAATGCCCTGGGGTGTGTTAAGCTCCTGGAACCTCAACGGAGTCCAGCCGCTGCCGCAATCTTGTGATCCCTAATCATACTCTCAGGCCGTAGACCTATCTGGCATCCCCTTTGATTGTTTTAACCCACCATCCAACTGCCTACCCCTCTGGGTGCAGCCCTAACCCTTCAGCTTCTGGTTTACTGTTTAACTCCCTCAGGGGCCTCCAGCAGTTGTAAACAGTCAACACACACTTTGTTCAGTTACTCAACTTTATGCTCTATACTTAACAGATAAAGCATAGGAGAGTACCTCTCATACGAAACAATGACACATCCTACATGCAATGTCTCACCAGCTCACCCGTCCTGTGCATGTTCTTGAGGGATCAGGTGTGTTTCGTCAGGCAGGCAGCATCCTCTGGCCCCTTGCCTACCTTGCAGCAGCAGCCTCCCTCATCTTAAACCAGTGCAAAATGGCTCTCTTTCTCCTCTCTCTTATACTAGCACTGGTGCTCCTGGTCTGCTATTTCTTGATTCCAGTCTTCTAGCTACTGTGTTTCTTCTCCAGCTGCAGCTTCTGTTGAGCTGCCCACAACTCCTGTTGCTGTGGTGTACTCAGTCTGGATGGAATGTGGTGCTGCCTCTGTCAGGCTCTTCCTTGTTTGTCAGGGTGGGGAACCTCAACCCATAGTTGGGGCAGCAAATCCTTTGGGAGACAAAGAGACACCCAGGGGCGGCTCCAGGCACCAGTACACCAAGCGCGTGCCTGGGGCGGCAAGCTGGGGGGGTCAGCCTGCCGGTCGCCATGAGGGCGGCAGTCAGGCTGCCTTCGGCGGCGTGCCTGTGGGAGGTCCACCAGTCCCGCGGCTTCGGCGGCGGGTACCCCAAAGGCGCGGGATGGGTGGATCTCCTGCAGGCATGCCGCCGAAAGCCGCCTGACTGCCGGGAGACACCACACACACTCCCTAGAAACCAGATGGGAGTGAAAGAACCCCATCTCAAGCTAACATCCACAGGTTGAGGGGTAAGAAGGGCCATGCGAGAGCTCAGCCCCAGAGGCTCTAAAGAGAGAAATTATACAGACTGGTGGACAAGGGACACTATGGAATTTTGAAGGATGCATGCTGGCTTGCTTGCAAAATATTTACTACACCTCTATCCCGATATAAGGCGACCTGATATAACATGAATTCGGATATAACACGGTAAAGCAGTGCTCCCGGGGGGCGCAGCTGCGCATTCCGGCAGATCAAAGCAAGTTCGATATAATGTGGTTTCACCTATAACGCGGTAAGATTTTTTTGGCTCCCGAGGACAGCGTTATATCGAGGTAGAGGTGTATATGAAATTATAAAAGGTAAGAGGAAAAAATGCCATTTACGGATCAGCCTGTCCAGGAAATAAGTGCGCTCCCCTAGGCTGCTGGACAGCACCCTAGTTATACCCACTTCTTTAGGGGGAGATGTGACAGCTAAGGCAATTTCCTGGACAAACCGTATTGAATTAAGTTTGTGCATCTTTGTGGGCCAAGGATTGTATGTAATTCCATGGGGGAGGGAGATCACAGCCCTCTAAAAACTAAGAAGAGTGGGGGTGGGTAGACAAATTCATTCAGGTTGTAACACCTCCAGAGAGGAACCACCACCTGGAGGGAGGCTCGCATATACTAATTCACACTGGATTCTCCAGGGACCAACAAAGAAAGGACTTTTGAGTAAAATTGCGGAGTTAAGACTGACTCAGGGCCTTCTTTCTGATCCGGCAAATGGACAAGACCTTCGGTCTAAGGGGAGCCCCCAATCCTTCCTGAGAAGAGCTGGAAAGACTTGCCTGTTCTGTGTTCTTGTTCTAAGCAGTAGGGGTTATGAACTTGTAACCACAAGAAAACCCCTTGGTGTGGGTTGAAGGACTGTTCACCTGCCAGAGTCCTTGGAGTCAGGGGGTGATCTCTGGTAAGCTTAGCATGCATGTAGGTTCTTTTATTGTTTTTAATATGTTTTCTCTATAATGCTTTTTCCTTAAGAGCCATTATGCTTGCTTAGGAAGAGCTGTCTGGTAACTTAACTGTGGCAATTACACTGTTTACTGTCTCTGAGGAGAAAAGTAAAGCAGGCCTGCTTAGGCTGTCTGACTTTGCTGGGAAATTCACAGTATAGGCAGGGAACTGTAGAGCCTGAAAATATCTCAGTCAGGAGTGTGAGAGATGCATGTCTCAGCCCAAGAGAGGCAACGGCTGGGGATCCAGAAACCTATGAGTGGGTGCCTTTGCTGGACCACAGAAGCAGGGGCGGCAAGTTATATACACTCGTGGTGCCTGGGCTCCAGCAAGAGTCAGGGCCCGGGGGCCCAGCTCCACCAATGTTTGGGGCCGGGTCTCTCCCTGGCCCCACCTGCCGCCCCCATGCACCTCCCCCAAGTGTCCCCCCAACCCCCACTTGCTGCCGCCGCTCACCTCCCCCGGCCCCGGAGCCTGCAGCTCATGCTGACTCTGCTCTGCTGGCTCCCGGCATCAACTGATGTCACAGGGTCCTAGTGCCCCCCGTCCCCTAATGGCAGGGCAGGCTGCCCTTACCCTGCCCTAGCCCTGAGCCTCTCCAATGCCCCAAACCCCTCAACCCCAGCCCCAGCCAGAGCCCTCATCCCCCCGCACCCTAATCCTCTGCCCCAGCCCTGAGCCCCTCCCACACCCCAAACCCCTCATCACCAGCCCCACAGCCCTCACCCGTGCACCCTCCTATCCCCAAACTCCTTCCCAGAGCCTGCACCCCTCACCCCCTCCTAGTCCCCCACCTCCAGCCCAGAGCCTGCACCCAAACTCCGTCCCAGAGCCTGCACCCCTCACCCCCTCCTGCACCTCCACCCCTTGCCCCAGCCCAGAGCCTACACCCAAACTCCGTCCCAGAGCCTGCACCCTTCACCCCTTCCTTCACCCCCACCCCCTGCCCCAGGCCAGAGCCTGCACCCAGCACCCAAACTCCATCCAGGAGCCTGCACCCTGCACCC